AATTGGCATGCATTTCATAAGATAAACCCATGTATATTGGGTGTAATGATCTATGAATGAAACATAATAAGTGGAGCCTCCATTAGAGGATATTGGGGATGGACCTCACACATTAGAATGCACGAGTTCAAAATGAGAAAAGGAACGAGTGACTCTTTAATTAAACGGGAAAGCATAAATTTTTTTTCAGTTTATAACCACAACAGTCAGAAAATAACATAACTGTTCAAAAGAACTAACACACCAATAGAGGCTAAAAACTGTAAACGTGATGCTGACACATGTCCTAAACGAGAATGCCAAAGATAAATATCGAAAGATACATGACTTAAATGAAAAGACGGTAAATCAACACCAAGCAATATCAAAAACTTGGAGCTGCTCCAATACGTAAAACTCTTCGGGTCTATGGTGGATCCTAATCACCCTCCGAGATTGTGGGTCTTGTACACAACATAGTGAACCAGAAAAGAAGACTAATAACCAGATTATACACAATTAATTGGCGAATCAAGATTCAAAGAAAGTGTGGATCCAAATATTGGTCGATTAAGAAGAAACATGAAAGGAAGATGAAGGTAACAAAAATGAGAATGTTATGGTGGACATGTTGTAAAGCCTTGTTAGACATCATACCGAACATGTCAATTAGGAATTTATTGGGGGTGTCATCGATCATCGATAAATTGAGGAAGAAAGATTATGGTGGTGTGGTCATGTCCACATTAGACAAGTAACCGGTAATGTTAGGAGGGTGGGGTCGACTACAGTCAAGGGTGTGGGGAGGAGAGGTCGGACGAGAAGGAAATGAGAAAATAGCATGACGTTAGAATTGAAGGAGTTAACCCTTACCGAGGTCATGAACTCATAAAGGAGAGTGTAGATGCTTAGAATTAGAGTAGCATAGTAGTATTGACATACTCTAGGATCTAGCTCCTTTTTCATTGTTAGTGCTTGCCGGCCAGTTTTCACCTCTTATTATTGTTTTCCAATTTAATTACAACGTGTGTAACTATATATGCTTTTGACTTACTTCTTATATCTTCTTCCACTACTTGTGCATTTATTGATGTTTTATTTTGTGGCCCTTTTCCATAATCTCGTGTAGACTTTCTTTTCCGTTTATCGATCTCTTCATTTAGACGTATACCACTGTATCATTCATCATGGACTTTATATACAGAGATCTTATACATGGATAATTTTAATGTGTTAGTGAATACGAAACCTTTTTATTTTTATATATTTATTTGTAGATTAACTACAAATTTGGTCCCTGTGGTTTACGATTTTATGTGGATTGGGTCCCTAAACTTTAAAAATTGCATAAAACGTCATAATCAACAGGTTTTATTGTGGATTTAGTCCCTACAAAACTTGAAATGTCTATTTTACCCTTTTAATTTCTTTTTCCTATTATTTTTAATTCTTTTACCTTTTTTATTATTAAAAAATAAAATTAAATCCCCCCACCTTACCCACCCCCACACTTCATTGTCTTCATCTTTCCCCCTCTATCTCTGTAGAAAAACAGCACCACCACCAACCCACCGACCACCCCCACTAGCACCCTAACTGGACCTTGCTTCTCCCATCTCTCCCTGTCTTCTGGTATCCTCGTTTCCTTTTTTCAACAACCACCGCCCATCGACGAAATTTCTTATTTTCGCCTCAATCCTCCCAAAAACGATGTGCAAATTCATCTTTAATAACTAAAATCAGAATTCTACAAATCATAGAATAAAACCCAAATGACCAACATCAAACCTATACACAATCAAAACCAAAAATCATATACTCAATCGAAATCGGAACTGTACTCAATCAAAACAAAAAATCATACATATACTCAATCAAAATTAGACATGTACTTATTATCAAAAACCAAAATTCAGTTTGAACAATTACAAAAAAAATAAAATAAATAAGCATGTCCGCAATCAAAACCAAAATACAGGCTTGCAATCAAAATAAAATAGAAAAACAGACCTACGACCAAACTAAACACATATAATCAGACTTGTAACCTAAAATCAAACCAGGAAACTATGGAGAATGATCAATTTTGACATCGTTGGGAAGACACTCATATGACTAACTTTATCATCGACGATAAAAAGAGCGTGAATGACTTTAGATGTGGTCTGAAGCAATTGGAATTGCTACAGATGTGATCTAGTCGATATAGCTCTAATTTCTAGGTTTTGGTTTAACGAAGTAGAAGAACGAATGGTGTTTGTCACCGAAAGTGTTTGTCATCGGAGGTGTTTATCATTGGAGCTGAAGGGAGAAGTGATTCACAAGAGGGTTTTTCGTTGAATAGAGTTGAAGGGAGAAGACCTTCGCCGAAACTTGTTGATTATGACGTTCTATGCAATTTTTAAAGTTCATGGACCCAATCCACATAAAATCGTAAACCATATGGACCAAATTTGCCGTTTACTCTTATTTGTATTTACACTTTTTTGTCGGAAGTCTTATACGAAAGCAGTCTCACAGCCCTACAATGGAGGCAGTCTTATCCTATTTGTATGAGACTGGAGTATGTTGTTTCTGTAAACCACAATATTATTGCTGAGGTACAAGTTATGCCTTTGTGATAACAAAATGATGGCATAATATTGTTGTTGTACAACAATACATAAACAACTCAAATAATGGAGTGGGTTAGATATAGCAACAATAAACAATGAAATAAATCATAAGTGCGATGATAGAACTAGTATTTTAGTAATGAAAATCGAGTGAGCTCCATGATTACATTATGCACATTAAAGCTATGGAGATGTAGGCCATATAGCTCAAAAACACCTAAAAGCTCTTAAAAAATCATTGTATACATGGATATGTTCTAAGTTAAAACGTTCACTAGTTTCCATATCCTGAACCAATTTTGGTAACATCACTAAACATAACAGTGGAAAATGTGAGCCAATCAGCATCTTAGATGTAAATATAATTATCGTCGCTTCAAACTCAGAATTTTTAGATCATGGAGCAATAGTTTATGCCGATCTCTTGGTGTTATCTCACTCATGAACTAGTCTCTAAATTTATGTTGTATGCTGCAAATTATGAAAGTTATTCTCCAGTGGAATTTCTTTTTCATAACAGTGATCCTCAGTGCACTTTACGTAATCAATCACTACCATCCATAGGAAATAATTGTCAACCAATATAAGTGGTCGCCTAAACAGAAAATGTTGAAACTTTATTCTTTTTTCAAAAAGAAAAAATAGTTGGTTTCTTGAACAAGAATAAGATCAAATTTTGGTCATCTTTTTTATGTAATTTGTCCTCCAATTTTTGAACTTCCAAACCTGCAAAACAAAGTGTATTTTACTTTGAATAGTTAAAAGAAAACTATACGCTTCACAATGTAAAACAACAGTGTAATTGACACCATTTTTAAAAGACTAATTTGGATAAATTATCATTATTTTTCACGCAAGAATGATAATTTCACATTCTACTGTGAATTTAACTGAAATTATAAAATTCTAACATTGACTGGCAATTTGGATATAATATATCACATGGCACATGCACAACTTGTGGTTTGACTAATATTAGATGGAACTAATATTAGTCGCTTGACAAATGCCTATTACTTCATATCTTATTTATTTAGCAATTTTGGCATCAAAAAGTGACACATTTTTTGTGATCGTCTATTCCGCTAAAAGGAAGAAACATAATGTGACATACTGACATCTAATACATTTTAAAATTTAATGATATTATATACCTAGACTGATTACAAGAAAAACATATACAAAAGCAACACATGTATAAATAAAGCATTATATATATAAAAATTGATTCTTGTTTGTGTGAAATGTAGGATCGAAAGAAACATCACCAAACTCCATATAGTATAGCGTGGATGTTTCATGAGCCTAAAATAAAGCATTTAACCAACGATTCTCAACTCTATAATCAAATGAAAAGTTTGAGGCATGATTTTTTTCTGATATTCATTTTGTCAGTTAACATTTGTGCATCACTGCCTCCAATAAACAGTTTAAGTCCCTCTTAAAATTCCTGAAATCATTTGTTGCGTGGGCCTTATAAATATATCCACCTTGAATACCACTCATCAACCTGTGAGACTTGATTGTGTCAACGTTTTGGTTAGACATTTAATAAATGAATGATTGTTGTAGAAAGTCTAATCGTCAAGTTCATATTATCTTTAGTAATCAACTTATGAATATGCTCATCAAATTCATATGCTTTGAAGTGTTTTAAATCTAATGCAAGCGTTGCAACAAGTCTTATATATGTTTTCCTTCTTTTGGTTTCTCTTTTTGGGTGTCTAATGTATCTGCTTCACTAGTGTTTTGTATGTCTACCCTGTTGCATAACAATACCTTTCTTTGACTTCATTGCTTTTCTAACATCAAAGTCTCCTTCAGCAGCATAGTGATTGTATATTGCTATGGATGCTTCAAATGATAGATATATAGTCTTTTTGTTTGTCTTCAATGAGCTAATTATATGTGAATTTCTTACTAACACACTCATTCTGACCCAATTAAGCAGGACTTGAAGCCTATTGGTTGAGGGGCACATTTTCAACTTACTAATATTATTGTATAGGTCATATTTACTAATTCAAATTCATGTTGTAGTAATGAGTAGGTGGTATAATGCCAAACGAAATGACTATATTCATCATTGGAAGCTATCATAGCAATATTGTAAAATCACTATGTTGTTGAAAGAGATTTTGATTATAGAAAACCAACGCACAAAAAATGGTAATATTACATTAACATGCCCCACATACAACAGGGAAGATGTTCCAAAACCAGTAGGTGCATTTGATACATTGGACACCAGACGAAGGAACATGCATAATCTATATTATATTTATAGCTATAGCTATGACTGGAATGACACATTTTAGAGTATACAGATTTGAAGAGACAATATAATTATAACTTTCGATTAGCAGGCAGAATATGCCCTTGTTGCACAGTAGGAGACAGTTAAACTTTCATAATCGATTATTCATTCATAAAAAAATATTCAAGTCTCATGGGCTGTACATCCAAATTGCCAATAAATGTTACAATCTTATTGCTATGAACCGACTTATATAAGAAAACAGAAAATTAGAAAAGATAAACAAAAGCTTCTGAGTGAATAATACTCAAAATAACACCCACAATGAACAAGAACCCTAATGTTTTACTAAAATTCAAGAGTCTTGTACATGTTCTTCTCTGAACCTGCCACGGGGTTATGTTGACCAATCTCTATCCATATTAATGGAACATTAGTGTACAATGAGTCCTCAACCACTGCTACCAGAAAATAAACTCCATTGAGTTGGAGGTTTTCAAGTGACTTTTTGGTGTTTTCTATGTAATAAACCCTCAAATTTACAAATCTAGGATGCTTGATCAAGTATTAACAGCTTCTTAAATAATAACTAGATCTCGACCATAACCATGTGTGCATCATATTATTATTAGGTCGTCCTGTAATAAGATGAAGAAATTCCTCTCATTGATTCCTTTCCATCTTGGAATTTTAATATACTATTACTGAAAGATCCAACCCCAATCCGCTCCTGCAACCTAGAATGCATTGCAACACATTTATAGGTCACCCTTGCACTCTCATCAAATAAACTAATCTTCAATCCAATTTATAGGATAAACATTAACCATTTTTAATATGGATAAGTATCACATTAATAAACCCATACGTTAAAAAGGTTGAGTCAAATACTTACGATTCAAAACGACATTGAAAAACACATTACATGATGCCTCAAAGTTCATGTCCTCTTGATCTTTGAAAAAGTTCCTGTCTCTGAAAAATACGTGCTCTGAGATCCACTCCCAAGTCTATTAGCATCTGCCTGTGGATCTATAAGATCAATCCCCTAAAAAAAAACAAATATATGATTATAAGCTGTAACTAATAACTATAACCACGGATGATTTAGGGTGAAATAAAGCAAACCTGAACAGGTGTGAAAGCCAAACTTGAAGTTAATCCAGAGGTAGCCCCACCACTACTATATTGTTTATCTTTGCCCCTGAAAGAAAACATATCCATAAGAACTTACTACGTTTTAGGATTTTCAAGAAAAATAAAAAAATGAAAATGAAAAGATTTAAAAAAGCCTACTTTTTGGCAACTTTAGCAGCAAGTTTGCTTTGACCAACTGATACACGCAGCTTCCCGTTTCCAGCTTGACCAAGCATACCGTATCCTTCTCCTAGTCCATCACCTATTAATATTATGAAACAAAATACCATCCAACTTTCAAAAGGATTATATAATTAAAAGGTAGAATAGAATGTTTATCTTAAGATAGGATAGGATGAGAGTGAAATTATTTTTTACCTAATGAGCTCTCTTCAGGCACTCCAAATTGCATTCTGTTTGCCAGTTTCCGCATGTCTGTAATAGCATATCTGGTAAAAAAAAACATAAGTAAATAATAATAATAAAGAAAGGCTGGAGAAAAACTAGGTCTTCTATCTTGTGATTTTCACTATATAATATGGGTAAGTTTGTTTGGATGGAATGGAATAAGCAAGGTAATTGAATGATCATTTTCATATTATATGCAAATACGAGGTAAGAGTTTTAACACTATGCTACATATGTTATTTAAATATAGGAGTATAAATAAAATTACATATACATACCTCTCCTTCATTTTCCTCAATCGCCTCCCACCTCTTTTCTTTTTGGGTTCAGAATCGGGTACAGGAAGTGGCTTTGGTTGCTTAGCTGGCGGTGGTTCCTGCCACTTTTCAATCTTCTTCCTAATCTCTTCCCGATACATTCTCCCTTGTTTCCCAGACGGGTCCCCCCTGATGGAGTCCACACGTGCAGCAAGAGTTGACTTTGCAGCCAAAAGTCTACAAGCTCGCATCTTTAAACCAGGAGGTGTAGTCTGAAAAACCTCCGTTTGCTCAATATACCCAACTCTAAACTGAGATGTAGCAGTAGAAAACCCTGCTAGATTCTTCTTTTTAGCACCTAAAAGCTGCACGTTACAAGCTGGCATCTTTGCGAGTGACGTCAGCCCGCCAGCTGTCCCCATAAGTTTTGCAGCAACTGCACTTCCAACAATGGCGGAAAGATTCGGTGCAATGTAGCCCATTCTACTCTCAACAAAATCCAGAACTTTCTTTTTTGAAGCGTCTAAAGTAAGGGCACGATCGCATGCTTCGATGGTTTTTTGAAGGGTATTTTCGGGAAGTGGCTTTCCGCTTGTGGTTGAGGCTGTGACTGAAACAACCATGATGATGGCTGAGGGGAGAAGACCTTCTAAGTCAACTAGGGTTAGGTCAACTTCATTTCCTATTCTCTTGACCACACGCGCGTAATCGATCGGGTGATGAACCAGAGATTCAAGTTCGGGAAATTTTAATCGGTATTTATCGCGTATAAAATTGTGGATTATGACAATTTCGTTTTCTATGTCGACTGATAGTGTGTTGCATTCGACTATTAGTTGGTATTCTGGATCGTCTTCTAGAACCATGGCTTGGTTTTGGATTGACATATCTGACCCCTTTTCAAGGGCATCTTCGACTTTCTGCAGTCAGTGTAATACTAATATGTAAACATGAAAAAAGGGTATGTATGTATGTATGAATATTCTTGATTCTTGAAATGAATTGTACATGTACATGTACTTACCTTCATGATGTCTGTATAACGTTGTGTTTTTTGTAACTTTGAGACACTGTCCAAGTCATCATAGTTGAGGGCTTCTATATCGGCTAAGTCTCCATTCACATCTTCTTCCATGTTCTCTGCATCCCCATTGTCTTCATCCTATTCAATACAAAATAAATTATAATTTATAAATAAACAAGACTTTTAATTAAGTTCAAGAATCAAGATTCAAGAATATGAAATCCAATTTCAATGACATGACATGACATTAAGAGTTTTACTATACTCACCAGGTTCTCATTATCATTGTCAGATAGATCCTCAAGATCTGCCAGAAAAGAATCTTCAAGGTTTGCCTGGAAAAAAATATGAATAAATTTCTGTTATAAACAGCTAAAGATTTTGGTTATTACGGATTTGATCAATAAAACTCGTTATATAAATAGTTTATCCCTAGTTTTTCTTTTTCTTATAGAAAACATAGGATATGTAAGAATTTTCCTGTTATGTTTCCAATCTATTTGGTTACCAAACTACTATGGATAATATATTAAACAGGCATTGAAAACAAACTTTGTGCATATGCAATTTTGATTAAAACTGTAACCATATGTGGAAGTACACAACTTTGCTCATTGAATTGAATGTACATTAAACCAAGAAACACACAAGTACTTGTATACATAAAGGCATGAAAAATCCATAAGAGTGTTTCAGAGAATCCATACCATGATTTTGTGAAGACCTGCAGCTCAGATATCAGAAATAAAAGCTACTTGAAGTTCTTCGTCACTCAATCTGCAATAAGAATCCACACCAACTGTTAAGAGAGTTAAATGCATAAAAAAGTGAATTACTTACTAATATTATTGTATGGGTCATACTAGTAATTCAAAAGTTTGTAGCAATTAATACTAGGTATATTGGATACCAAACGTTCATGATGATATAATGCCAAACAAAATGACTCTATTCATCAGTGGAAGCAATCATAGCAATGTAAAATCACTATGCTGTTGAAACAGATTTTGATTATAGAAAAAAAAATGGTATTATTACATTAGTTGACAAATGAATAACACAAATGATCATGTTCCAAACTTTTCATTTGATTATGGAGTTGAGAAACCTTAGTTAAATGCTTTGTTTTGGGCAAGTTATGTCACAAGGAGTTTGGTGATGTTAGTTCTGTATATACTACTTTTCATACAAACAAGTATTAAATTTTATATGCAATTTTATATTTATATATGTTTGGTTATTCTATTTGTTTATATTGTAATTAGTCGAAATTTATAATATCATCAAAGTTTAAAATGTATTAGGTATCACATGATGTTTGTTCCTTTTACCAGAATAGACAATCAAGAAAATTATCATTTTTTGAGCCGCTTTGCTAAGTAGAGAATATACATAACTTTCATTAAAGCATTTGCGAAAAAAAAAAAAAAAGCAACAATAGATAATTAGTTCTATCTGATCAAGATATGGCTATGAAGAAGGCTATTATGCATTTTTTTTTCTCCAGTGTGACTAGTTAGAATCTAATTGCTATGAACCGACTTATAAAAGAAAACAGAAAAATAGAACAAATAAACAAAAGCTTCTCTAATTGATTAATACTCAAAATAAAACCCAAAATGAACAAGAACCCTAATGCTTTACTAGAATTTCAAGAATCTAGAAGGTATCACTACCAGATTTCACAAAAGAGATAATCCACTCTCCTTCCCACTACCTAATATTTTGTCATAACAAACTATGTAAAGTAAAATACCCCTCTACTAATAAGATTCTTTGTATTTGCTGATTTTCCCATATTACCCTTATCTATGATAGGTTACTGAAGCAGATGCGTAATATTTCAGTTACATTCACAATAAAATATGAAGTTACCACTCATACGTAAATACAGGATAATTTGTTTTATCAATTATCTTTGAAATTCACATTAAGTTTTACATGTTCATGTAGAATAGAATGACAAAACTTGTACGTGTTCTTCTTCTCCCAACCTGACATGGGATTATGTTGACCAATCTCTGTTCATATTAATGGAACATTAGTGTACAATGAGTCCTCAACCACTGCTACAAGTAAATAAATTCATTGAGTTGGAGGTTTTCAAATGACGTTTTGCCTTTTTGGTGTTTCCTATGCCAGTTATGTAAACCCTCAAATTTACAAATCTAGGATGCTTGATCAAGTATTAACAGCTTCTTAATGTAATTTCATTGATTACTTTTCATCTTGAAAATCTACTATTACTAAAAGATTAAACTCCAATGCGCTCCTGAAAAGTGAAAACTAGAATGCAACACTTTATAGGTCATCCTAAGACTCTCATCAAATAAATGCATCTTCAATCCAATTTATAGGATAAACATAACCACTTTTAATAATAATGATAAATATCACATTAATAAACCCTTTTAATACAAAAAGTTGAGTCAAATGCTTACATATATTACACTAAATTTGATTGGGTAAGGAATCAGAGTAAAAGAATCAATTAAATCGTACCTAGAATATGGAATCGCTTAACATAGTGAGGATTTTGAAGAAAAGGGACGAGAGATTTGTTTCAGCTCCCACAGTATCAACGGCTCCACCACAGAATCTCTGTAACTATCCGGAAACCACCTGATTCATCCCTCGCTTTGATACAACAACCGGCAATTCTAACTCACACTCCGATCATCATCGTTCAACACTGGTCTTTTTTTCTTTTTTAACGGCAAACTATTCAACTTCTAATCACTTCTTAATTTCACTTATTTACACGATTTGAACCCTCAAGAACACGTCTTCATAAATATTTTATCTAGTCATCTCTAGATCAGCCTCGATAGGCTATGAGCCCAAAAAAATTGGGCGCCGCCCATATATATATAGTCTTATGATTAAAACTAAAAAACAACCACAATGGATTGAAACCCCTTTTTCAGGTTTATGACCTATGAATATGATACATAAAGTAAAATATGTGGATGAGTGTATGAACAAACATTTAAAAGATATGTTATCTTTTAGGCCTGGCAATTGGGTTGGGTTCGGGTTGACGGGTCACGGGTTGGTGGGTTGGTGGGTTGGCGGGTCAGAAAACATAAACTCAACCCAACCCATATAATATATGGGTTGGCGGGTTGGCGGGTCACGGATTGAAAACCTCAACCCAACCCAACCCATATAACCCGTTTAAGTATATGGGTTCGCGGGTTCACATGTTAATGGGTTGAACCCAACCCGCATAACCCGTTTAATAAATAAGCTACACATTTTTTAAAAAAAAGAGGTTTTTTCAACATAAAGTCATAAAGTGATTAAAGTCATTAAAATCAAGAAACCGGTTTCCAGCATAAAGTCATAAAAGTCACTAATATCCAAATAAAATAGAAAAATAAGCAAGTGAGTGAGAGTGGTCGATTTGTGTGTTTTTCGACTATTCTCCCGTGGGTTGGTGGTGTGTGAGCTGAGTAGCCGATGAGTTGACGGCATGTAGGCGAGGGATAGTAGGCAACCGGAGAATCGGCGATGAACGGGTGAAGGGGTGAGGAGTGAGGAGCGGCTGCCGGCTAGTGGTGGTATGGTGGATGTGTTCTTCATTCATGACTCATGAATATCTAAAAATGATTACATGTGTGTTTTCTTTTTTGATTACGACATCGCAAACGCAAACTAGCCACATACGAATACGGAAGGAATACAATGATACATAATATTACGAATATGAAGGGAAATTAGATGTCATTAATAATTAAATATATATCTATTTTTTTTAAATGTAATATATATATATATATATGGGTTGGCGGGTTGACCCGCGAACCCAAATAGGTAACCCAACCCAACCCATGAAATAAATGGGTTGGCGGGTTAGCGGGTTGGTGGGTTGGCGGGTCAAAAATCTCAACCCAAACCCGTTTATTTTCGGGTTGGGTCAGTGTCGGGTTACGGGTTGGATCGAGAGTTGCCACCCCTATTATCTTTATTCTTATTAAAAACCTCTTCTACATGCCACATGTCCATCTTTTAGACTAGCATTCTTTCACGTGTCTATTTTTTAAAGTCCAACATTTGATTTTCCCGCCCATCTTTTATATCAACGGCAAAATTGAGAAAATTAGAAAAACATTTGAAATTTAATCCCTTTAAATCAGCCACCAAATCACAACTGTAACTTCTCCAATTTCTCATACACGTTTTGGAAACAAAATCGTTGATTCAAATTTTAAAATATGCAAGATCAGGAATGATTTATCTTCATTGATCTTCAGCCCAATCTTAACAAATCGCGATTAAAATCTGCAACCATCTCCTTATTGTCTTTGTTTTCGTCTTTCAATACGCCCCCGACTCCCCTGTTCACCGATCGATTTTACTCTTTCCCCGTCTCCATGAAAACCCTTGAAATTTGACTGAACAACCTTACCTCCACTGCTACACCCCCACCACCGCTTATACTAATCTAAACCAATACCCAAAACACAATAGCCAAACCCACCATGTCTCTTCCACCATCACATGACTTCCATCACTACCCAACTTTCTATTGTGTTGTATTCTATGCCACTTCCTTCTCAGTCTTTCCTTCTCAGGCATCTAACGGCTACTTAGACAGAACAGAAGCAACAAATCAATGGATTTGACGGTAGGGTGTCTATGTTTCTAACTCCTAATGGCCCTCTGGATTGTGAATCGTTCTTTCTTTTCTTTTTATTTTTTCAAAATGTTTCAAAAAAAGAGTGGGTGATAAAGAGAGTATAATTGAGGGAATTAGAGATAGAATAGGTTTTGGCTCTTAGGAACTATAATCCCCCTCTCTCTCTCACACATTATTGTTATATGTTTTTACTTTTATAATTAGTATTTATGGAAGTTCTTTGATAAAATGGGGAGTAACTGGTAAGCACACCATGTGTTTGTGAAAATGTCTCACATATAGTAATGTCGTGGTGAAGATATGGTGCTTAACTTGCATGCAACTTTTTGTTCCAGGTTTGGTTTGCGTTGTTCTACTAATCCTAAACCTAACCCTAATCATATTAGTTTCTCAAAGACAAAACTGCAAATTTTGTCCCTGTGGTTAGCAAAAAATTATGGATGGAGTCCAAAAAGTTTCCAACTTGCACCATTGGTCCAAAATCACAAACTTTTCGTGGATTTGGTCCCTGAACAATTTGAAATGACTCTTTTACCCTTTTGATTTGTTTTTTCTATTTTCTTTATTAATTTTAATATTTAAATGTTTACAAAAAAATAATAAAAAAATCCTACCCCATCCATCCCTCTCCACCGGTAACCTCTCTCTCTCTCTCTATCTCTATCTCTCTCCACTTGCAAAACCCTCTTTCTCTAATCGTCTTCTTCATCCCTTCAATGACAAAAACACCAGCTAACATAATTTTAGAGCCACCTTAAAAAACCTTAAGCCACCACCGTCATTGAAATGATTCCCTAGAACTGGAGCAGTTTTTTATCTCAAATGGAATTCCCCTAAAAACCGATTCTCATGAAAAATGGGGTCAATCTTCTGAAGCATCCTAACCCACCCTCCCAATTCGTAAACCCCACCCCTCCTTTTCTCTATTGGGTTCATCACACACAAGAACAACCACGAGTTAAAACCCATAACACCTTCCGGTGGTGAACTTGAGTTACTGTAAAGAATCAGAATCTGCATGTTGGACCTTCAAGAAATTGAATCAGAATCTGAAGATTGGGCCTTCAAGAAATTGAGATATGGAAATAATGGTGTTGAACAAGTGTTTGGAAATCAGACCTTCATTACATACATACACTGATGAACATAGAAATTGACACCACCTGAGCATCTAAAAACCCTAAAATCTCGGATCTGAACAACTACACACATATACTGATGGTCGCTTCGCTCTTGGAGGTTCACCGAATGAAAACCTAGCTCCGACGGTGAAAATACTTTGCTGGAATGAGAGACTCAAGAAAGAGAGTAATAGAGGGAGGTATTGGCTTATCAATGTTCTCAATCTGGTTTATCAGTATGTGTGTGTGTTTGTGTGTTTGTTGAATCGGGAAGAGAGAACGAGAGACGCAAGAGAGAGAGAAAGGTGTGTGTGTGTGCACATATATGTGTTTGATCTGCATCAGTTTTTCCAAAACTTCATTATGTGTGCTCATATGTGTTGAATCTGCATAATCTTTTCCCAGAACCTCATTGTGTTCATAGTTTATGTATGTGTATCAGTGTATGATTGTGAATTAAATCAGTAAGAGAGGGTAGGGTTATCGACATAAGAGGTGGGGGTGGGAGGGGTGCTGATAATATTTTATTTTTGTTTTTTTTTTCAAAAACTGAATTACTGAAATACATAAAAATGGAATAAACAAAATGGAAGGGGAAAATAGTCTTTCTAACTAATTTTAAAATTTTCAGGGACCAAAATTGATCAACCAATCGTGTCTGTCAACCAATCGTGTCTGTCATTAGGTTATAAGCTCCATTGGATATTGATCAACCAATCGTGTCTGTCATTAGGTTATAAGCTCTTTTCAACTGTTCCTTTCTGTAAAAGGTTAAAATAATGTATTATTACTTTAGGAAAGTTACATAAACCATTTTGTCGATTTCGAACCATTATACTATTTTATAGTTTAAAAGCCTCATTTATCATGGTTTTGTGGTTTGTTACACATGCCCATTCACAATCAACTATGCAAATTCCCCTTTGGAGAAGACAATGTTAGATACAAACCCTCACATGTAATGTATTTCTACTTGTATATAGTTTCAATTTAAAGTTTAAAATTTGTTTGATTTTAACAAGCCAGTGAGTCCATGTTTCTTAATAATATAAATGTGTTTTCCATTTACTATTTTAATTGTTTTATTATTACTTTATATTTCATTTAAATATGGGATTTTTTTTGTATTTCTCTTAAATGCACGAAATACCAACTACTTTCATAGTTTCTAATTTCTAGAATCTTTCATTATAACATTCTATTTTGTAAATGGTAGTTTTTTTTTTTGAACATAGACTGGAAAATTAAAAAAACATATTCTTATTTAACATTCTATTTTTTGGAAACTATCATTTATAGCATTCTACTTTGTAAAATAGTCAACCGTGGTGACCACGGGTTATAACCTAGTTATTATATGAAATAAACTCATATTTTCCATGCCAAATTGCAAGATAGAATACTGGGATAATGACTTAAAAGGGTAATATATTTTTCGATTTGTATACATTTGGTCACTGAGTTTTTTTTCCGTACACATTTATCCCTTCAACTTGTTAAACTGTACACATTCAGTCCTTATTACCGGCTACTCCAGGTTAGCCGGTAAAAATGACTTAATAGGGTAATATATTTCTCACTTTGTATACATTTAGTCCTTAATATTTTTGTACACATTTAGTCCTTCATATTTTTTTTATTGCAAAATAAGTCATTTTTGTTTTGTACCGATTCTGTACTTATGAATGATTTTTTTAGGTTTTTCTCACGACATCTTACGTGGGACAATCATTGGTGAGGTGTTTGGGGTTGTTGATGTTTATGTCTATCGGGACTGTTTGGTTGCTTAGGTCATGTGTTATGAACGTCATAATTTCTTCATACGAACTCAGATTTTAACGATATTTATATCTATGCGTTCGTATTTTAGTCTACTATAACTTTCGTTTAGATTACTCTCGTTAAAAAGTAATATATTTTTACTTACGATCTTTATATCCATACATTTTTTTGAATGCATGTATGAATATTTTTTCTTTATAAAATCGAAGTAAAAATATATTACATTTTAACGGAAGTAATCTTAATGAAAGTTGTAGTAGAGTAAAAATAATGAACATGTGGATATAAAGATCGTTAAAATTTGATATTGTATGAAGAAGTTACGACGTTCTGAACACAAGACCTAAGTTAAACCACAAGACCTACGCAACCAAGCAGTCGAGATCGCGATGAACATAAGCATCAACAGCCCCAAACACCTCACCAATGATTGTCGCACGTAAGATGTCGTGAGAAAAACCTAAAGAAATCATTCATAAGTACTGAATCGGTACAAAAACAAAATGACTTATTTTGAAACAAAAAAATATTAAGGACTAAATGTGTACAAAGTGAGAAATATATTATCCTATTAAGTCATTTTTACCGGCTAACCTGGAGTAGTCGGTCATAAGGATTGAATGTGTACAGTTTAACAAGTTGAAGGGATAAATGTGGACGGAAAAAAAAACTCAGTGACCAAATGTATACAAATCGAAAAATATGATACCCTTTTAAGTCATTATCCCTTTTTTTTATAAAATCGTAAGTAAAAATATATTACATTTTAACGGGAGTAAACTTAATGAAATTTGTAGTAGAGTAAAAATAACGAACATGTGGATATAAAGATCGTTAAATTTTGATATCGTATGAAGAAGTTACGACGTTCAGAACACAAGACCTAAGTCAAACCACAAGACCTACGCAACCAAGCAGTCGAGATCGCGATGGACATAAGCATCAACAGCCTCAAACACCTCACCAATGATTGTCGCACGTAAGATGTCGTGAGAAAAATCTAAAGAAATCATTCATAAGTATTGAATCGGTACAAAAAC